CGCCGCTCGAATCCATCCCATCCCCGCCGCCGCCGGCCGCCGTCACTGATCCTCCCTCGAATCGAAAGGTAATTTCTCGCAGGATCTAGGAAGCAAATTTCGGCCCGTTCGAAGCCGACGAGGATGCGGAAGACGGTAAGCTTTATTGTTTTCGTTTGGTAATTTTTTTTAGATATTTGCTGAAATTGAAGAAATTTTGGTGATTTAGGGCTTCATTAGAGACCATGCACAGAGGAAAAAAATTAGTTGGTTCGGGTGTTCTATTGTTTCTAACTGAATCTGCAATTATAATTGTTGGAAATTAGGGTTTCAGTCCTTTTAGTTAATTTTGATGAATTAGTTTCTTTTTTTTTCTTTTTTGAGCTGAATTGAGGAAATTAGGGGTGGAGGACTTTGTTAGATAGTATTTGCACATACAAGAGGGGAAACTTGAGTGAGTTAGGGAGGGTTAGATTTGTTTCTAACTGGATCTGCAGTGATGATTGTTGAAGATTAGGGTTTTGTTCTCTTGCAAGTGACACAATTTATCAGTTGTGTGCTTTAATTTTACATTGATTGCTGATGGTTTCTATATACTTTTAAAGTTGGGAAGTTTTACATTCCTTGCTAAGTTTCTGGGATGGTAGTTATATATTAAATTTGCCTATTGAGTGAGTAAGAACTAAGAACCCCGAATGGCATATGATAAAGGAAAAGATAGTGAAAGCAAAGACCTTTATGAGAGCAATGTGAGGTAGAATTGAGAATTTAAGAAACAATAATGAATTTGGGGGAGATCGGAGTAGTAGGAGGAAGTTCTTAGTTGCTCATTTTCTAATCATATATAATTTTTAGGATGGATATAGAGAAAGAGAGCTTATTATGTTTACATTGCTTTTTTCCCATGTGAGTGCTAATCTTTTGTTACAGTTTTTTTGATTTATTTTTAAATGCCTTATATATATATTAGTAGGGTAAGAAGGTTGAAGGAGAGGAGAGAGAAAACATTGATAAAGATTTTAGTTGAAGAACATGAAAAGGTAAAATATTTTTCTGTTTTTCTCTAATGAAACCTGTTTAATGAGTTGAAAATTGTGTTCTATCTTGCTACTACGTGTTTAAAAGCATTGCTTCTGATGAAACCTGTTTAATGAGTTGAAAATTGTGTTCTATCTTGCTACTACGTGTTTAAAAGCATTGCTTCTGTGTTGATGCAACATTTATTACAACAATTGTGTTCTATCTTGCTACTACGTGTTTAAAAGCATTGCTTCTGTGTTGATGCAACATTTATTACAACATGTTATATTTTTATGCATATTTGTAGGGAAGTAGTATACTTTTCATTTTGATGCATGATCTATATATTACCACTTCTTTTGGTCAGTCATGATGATGATGGTCTATTGTGGATCTAAGGTTACCTAAGGTGCACTTATTCTAAAGGAAGAGCAACTACAATCACAATGTCATCATAATCCTGTTTCTCTGTCCTCTACTTCTACTCACTTTCTTCTCATTTTTTGGGTACTATTTTGTACTCTTAACAGGTGAGGGATGAACTTGAACATCTACTGGATCATGACATGGATATGGCAGAGATGTACCTTACGGAGTAGCTTATATCTAATCGAGTTGGCGAGATGTCTTCGAGAGGGGATCTTGACAATGATGGTTCTGAAATGGATGAAGAGAGGTAAAATACCTAGATTTTTGGAGAGATTTAATTCTCTATGTGGCAATGAAGATGTTTCAGGCAAATTGTGATATCGTAGGCATCATTTGGAACTTTTTCCTGAAGTTCTGCTCACTAATCGTGTCACTGAAATATTGGGCGAAAAGAGTTGTTTCTTTGTGGACCTAAGATCTAAATTAAATAAATCATAGGACCTGTTAGACCTGGACTATGCATGCAATTGGCGTTCATTACCTATAGAAAAATTAATTGTCATTTAATTGATATAATTTTCTGTATGAACCAGTGTTGTAAAAAGCGGCCGATAGCGGGGCTATAGCGGCGCTTTTCGCGGTCGCGGCCCCTCAGCGCTACGCGGAGGGGTGTCGCGGTCGGATTAAGCGGGGAAAACCGCTTTGCATTCGACAAGCGCGTAAAAGCGCTCAAAAGCGGGAAAAAAGCGGGAAAAAGCGGGCAAAAACGCAAAAATCCGCTAAACCCGCTAAACCCATATTTGATTTTTTCGCGCTGAACCCGACCCGAACCCAAACCCGGTTACCCGACTTGTTAAAAGCAGATAAAAGGCGATTTTTTCTCTCCCACTCCCGAACCCTAGCCGCCTGCGGATCTTCTCCGTTCCAGCCACGACGATTTTTTCTCCGTTCCTGCGGATCTTCTCCGTTCCAGCCACGACGATTTTTTCTCCGTTCCAGCCTGCGGATCTTCTTCGTCCTCAGAGCTCCACAGCAACGCAACCCTAATTCCTCAGAGCTCCTTCTCCCGTTGCTACTGTTGCTGACGGTGATCCCCCGTTCCAGCCACGACGATTTTTTCTCCCACTCCTGAACCCCTTTTTTCCGTTCCAGCGTTTCCAGCGACTTCCGAAATCTGAGTCCAGCCAGCGACTTCCGCTCCCAACGACGAGACGACTTCCGAACTCCGAGTCTCCAACAAGCTTCCCTCAAGTCTCCAACAGCTCAAGCTCCCAGCGTCTTCTCCATCTCTGTTGGCTAGATCTGCAACAGATAAGCTTGTTCTGTCTGTTTTCTTGATGGGAAGAGGAAGTTTGTCTGTTTAGAATATAAATAAGTTCTTAGCTATCAAGTATTTCACCTAAACAGTTATGAGCATGTAAATCCATTTAATTTAATTTGAAGTGGGTCAAGGCTTTTGATTTGTGTTAGGCTGTTGATTCTTGCTGAAGTGCATAATTTGTCTGTGATGGGCATGTTGTATTCTTTCCCTTGCTATAAAGCAAATATAGATATAGATTATAAGCCTTCATGCATTAGAAGTTAGCACTTGACCGAACTTTGTAAATAAATATTACTAATTCTTGGAGAACACCAATCTGGACACGCCATTAGCCTATGACATGTAAATGCCCTGTAACTGTACATAACCAAAACAGAGTAGTCAATAGGAGCTATAATTCTTGTCATACAACAAGCTTATCAATTATTTACTGATAATTGATAATACAAGAAATTTACAAGTTACAACTAATTAATATGTATGCGATAAACGGCTTGATCTTCAATTCTTCATTCATAATCAGCAGCTGCACCGAAATGATTAGTGCCCTTGATATTTCCAACTTCCAGAAAACCTGTATAATCAACATTTGAAATCAATCAAATCATTATAAATTTATAACTCTTTGAGTTATTGAATGAATGAAGAAATGGGACAAATAACGGTCTTTTGGATAAACAGGTACATTTTTACTAACTTTCTAGTAGTTAATATAATGATGATATTACTAACTTACTAATCATGCTTTTTTTGTTGAGTATTTTCATATTAGAGACTTGAAAGTTGAAGAAATGGGACAAATAACGGTCTTTTGGATAAACAAGTACATTTTTTCATTCTTTAATCTTTATAATTATAGTACTTTGTTAATATTATGTAATTATTACACATCTATTTCATGTTTAGGCATTAAGTATGCATTTATAGAAATTTTAGATTTTTTTTATGAATTTTCTTATTATTTAGGATATTTAAATATATTTAAAATTGTCCGCTATTTGACTGTGCGCTATTTGCCGCTATTTCGCCGCAATAGCGCGCAATAGCCTTAGCGGTACCTCGCCGCGACGCGACGCGATCCGCTATCAATAACCTTGGTATGAACCTAAGGGGAAGCATTGACAATAAAATGCCTTCTCTAGAGAGTAGAAATTATGATGATTCACACCAATACACCATGCACGTTTCAGCTTAAATAGAGACAAAATTTTACAAAGAAACGGACACTAAGAACAAAGTCTTTATGCCAAACTTTTTGGGTTGATCGCAGGAATTTATTATTCCATTCGGTAATGAAAGGGTCATCTCCCATGTTAGTTGAACTGTATAGGCATATGAAACTTTTATTACCAGGACATGTATTTCCATACATAAAGAGTATCCTTATGGAAATATGAACATAATAATAGTTTCTTATGTTCACTAAACATCCAATATGCACCTATTTTACCTTGGTTCCCTACTTTATTAACCTAACCACGTCAGCAATACAGTTCAATACTTCGATAAATTTGGTAAAAATAGGAAATTGAAATTAAAAAAAAAAATCTTTGATTAGGTTATTGTGCATGAATACTAATCAGGATAGAGAATATATTTGTGCTTATATGAAGGGAAGTGAACACGTAGAATTCCAGGAGAACAACTTGAGCATTATTTAGTTGTGGATTCACATATAGTTTCCTATGAACATTATCAGAAGATGACTAAGAAGCATGCATTTTATGTGATGAACATTCGGTATTGGAAAGCTTGATCCTACGACAATCATTCTAGAAACATAACTAGCATGGTTAAAAATAGCATCCAACCCAAGAAAAGGGAAAAGCACACTGCTAGGCCCTTGCATTTGTTGTTGAATTATTGGCAATGGATAAAGGTCAATCTTCGTTCTCACATGATGCATTACTTTCATTCAAATCTGTAAGTTCAAAGCGCAAGGCACAGTGCTGAGAACTTATGAGATGATTTTTTGGGTATAACTTTACTTATGTTTTTAGTAATTATATAATTCTTGATGCTGTTTGATTTTCTAATGTGTAATATGTCATATATCTTCAGAGATGAAGATTTTAAAAATGAGACAGAGAACAGCCATGGAAGTTATATTGGTTTCAAGCCTAGCATTGAAGAACTGGAGATGCTCTTAGAGGCCTACTTTGTGCAGATAGATGGATGGTACCTTAAACAAACTCTCCACTGTAAGCTATTCTTCTTTTTATACAAGCATCTTCATCAATGTTAAATATCCTTATTTTAAGCTCACTTATTCAATAAAGTTTTAGTATTTATGAAATAAGAGGAGAACAAGGAGAAAATTATATAGAAATAATGTAAATTGCACAAGGCTCCAGTATTAGACCAAATTAAACGTGTACTATCTAATTGTGTGGATTGTGTGGGTGGCATCAAAGAAACTCAATAGATTTTGCTATTGAACACAATCTAATTGTTGGCATTGAGGAGATTGGGATAGTTTATGTGCACAAAGCTGTGAAGAGACTTGATAGGGGATATTAGATATTAATTTATTAATGATGTGACTAACACAATCTTAGGATAAATTGAGTGTTGTGAGAAATAAGTTTGTTTGATGCTTTACACTTGGATCTACTCCTCTATACTTATATGAGGATCATTCACTATTCATTCATAGTAAATACTTCTTTTAGCATGATGAAGATGCTAATTTCTATTTATAATGATTAAATTTGATTTAGCTAATCTTAATAGTGCCTAATTCTGATCATATCCCTAACCCTTATGTTTAAACTTGATTTATGTAATCTCTTTTGTTGTTTTTAATAAAGATTTGGTTGCTAAGTTTTAATGGGTTTTGTTTGTTCGTGGGTTAGGGATTGGAGATTGATTACGTCAGAGATGATGATGGATGGATCGAATCGAAGGGTCAACTCGGTTCATCATAGTTATGAAACAGTAATTTTATTTCACTTTTCAATTTTAAATTTTAAATACATATTTTCACACATTTATGCACTGAAAAGATTGACCTTTATTATGCTATTTCGGTTTCAGTTTTGAGTAGTTATTTAATCTTTAAAAATTTGGTTAATGATGGCTAGGGATGGTATAACCATGAAGATAAAAGCTAAAGTTTCTAAATTTCGTCAATAACAGTTAAGGATCATTTTTAGAAATTTTGGAGGGCTTTTATTGAGGAGAAAATGAAGATTTCTTCTGCCACAGTTGGCGAGAGAATGAACTACTGATATGTGCTCAGATCTGAATATTTCCTCTAAAGTAATGAACTATTGATATGTGCTCAAATCTGAAGATTTCCTCTAAAGTAATGAACTATTAATATGTGCTCAAATCTGAAGATTTCCTGTCAAAATTTTGCTCATTTTCTATTTATTTCTCTTTAACATTAATAACAAATCTTTGAAAAGACACATTAATAAAGAGTATTATACTTAGTTGATGATTTATAGTAGTGAATTTTAATATTTGATAATATTTGTTTGGACAAGTCAATTATCATATTCTATATTTTTTCGCTTAGAATCAATGATAGGGAACTTCTATGGTTTTCAGGTCATGGAGAAGGTTGTTAAGAAGATCTCGGAGTAGGAAATTTCCTCGCCTAAATAATCCAAGACCCCGTTTAAGCCTGCAATAGTTCTATTTCAGGTTTTGCTTTTATTTCTCTTCTTTTTACTGACTTTGTTTCTTTTTTCCCCTAATTATAAATATATGATATTATAATGTTTGTCTTTGAGGCACGATATAGTTAAGAGGTTAGTTTGCATTATTTGATAAATATATGATATTATAATGTTTGTCTTTGAGGCACGATATAGTTAAGAGGTTAGTTTGCATTATTTTGTATGATGAAGTAAAATATGCATTTGTCTTTGAGGCACGATATAGTTAAGAGGTTAGTTTGCATTATTTTGTATGATGAAGTAAAATATGCATAAAGAGATAACTCATTCGTAAAAATTCATGATTGGTTGTCACTCAAGTGATTGACTCATGAATATATGTTATATTGAATGTAGAGTTTTGTTGCTATATTGTTTTATTAGGCATTTAGGTGTGAGTTGTTGGAGTAGTATTGTTATATTTGCACCATACAATATTATTAGGCATCTATTTTCCAAATGCAACTCATTTGAAGTTCTTCATAGTTGCTACTTGTAGGAATCAGTTTGTATAAAAATAAAATTGAGATCAAACAACATTAACAAATTGTGACTTAATTACATGTAAATGCAACATAATGCTTTATCGCTTATCTCACAAATTTTCTCAATTTACTACTTATAGTTGAACTCTCAAATAATATTTTTATTATTTTTCGAAGGTGTTTCCCCTTTCAAAACTGGTTTTAGTTGAACCCTTTTATTCATTCTATTTTACCCTTTTAAAACTAAGAGGAGGGGTGTTCCAAGTGCAATGGTAGAAAAGAAGCGAGGACCGTGTTTGGCACGGGGTACATACTAGTGTTGTGGAATACCTTGTTGAGAATTAACTTTTTTTTGAATAAAGGATGGGCCTGAAGATGGGCTTGAAGGTTAGACTTAGATAATAGGCCAGTCTCACGATCTCTCTCCTACCAAATCTCTGATCCTTAAAATCTCATCAAGCCGCTCTGGGGACTTCGATTCGATCGCGATCGCGTCGGCAAAATCGAGAAGCTGGATCGTCGATCCGCGGCAAGATTCGGCGAGGGCGAGATCGGCTATCCGGGAAAGGTTCGAGAAGATCTGATCGCAGAGGAGGCGCTCGCTGGGAAAGTGGACGCGAACGGAGAGAGTGACGCCTCGAATCCATCGCTGGATCTCTTCTTCTAGAAGACTCCAGGGAGTTGAACGGATCTCTTCACCGGTTTTAGGGTGGAGGCCGAGGCCAACAGTATAAAGTGATAGGGGAAGTAACAAAGACATCAAGATCTCGCAGAAGAGTGTGGAGCCATTTCAGCTCAATTGTGGTGTCTACTAACGTCATGTGCTCGGACTTCGTACTAGAATGAGAGACAAACGCTTGACGCTTACTACGCCAAGAGATGGGAGATGATCCCATAAAATACAAAAGCCAGTAGTGGAACGCCGGGTGTCCGAATCATCAACCCATCCAGCATCAGAATAAGCACGAAGAGACAAAGACGAGTCTGAGGGGAAAAAATAATTATTGAGTTATAGTGCCACGGAGATATCGAAAAACCCGAATAAGAGCTGCATATACACACATAATCAGTAGCCTAATAGTAGGCACAGTAGGAGGCGGCTGAGGTGGCAGCTAATGCAGCTTGGACGACTGTAGGGCGGTTGTCAGGCTAGGAGGTGGCGACGGCTGTTGTTATCTAATATAAACAAATAATTATGTCCTTGTAATCAATATTATAAAGGGCTTGGTCATCTGAGTAGTGATATTTACTTGGTTTTATACAGGTTAGTTCATTTTCTTTTCTAACTTAATGATTTCTGCTTGTTTTTGTTTTAAACATGACTAACATCGCTAAAGCTAATACTTGCTACACTACACTGTGATTCTCAACAGAGAACTAATATTGCAAACAAGTCAAAAATAAAAATAAAAATAAAAATAAATTATACAACAGATGTGAATTGTTTTGACCACAACAATAATGTAATGCTCTTAATTCTGGTGCTCAACCGAAAGGTTGAGATGTATAAATCAATAATTGACAGAGAAATTTTGAAGAATGTTGAAGACGTACAAATCAATGTCCTACGTGTCATCGGCTCTATCGATCATTCGCTTTCATTCGGTTGCACTTGCTACTACTACAAAAATAAATGCAAAGGGTATGTGTATATACCAACGACTATTAGAATTATACGACAGTAAGATACTATGAATTATCAAATAATATGTGTAATTCATCTAATATTACACTTTTTACCCCCTCTCACTCAGGTGTTCTCTCTTCTGGTGTTAGTTTGGAGCAAATCTATTTGAGATATGGTAGCCTTAGGCACTGGAATTCCCCAAACCAAGCTCTCGGGGATTTGTCACAAGCCAATTAAGCAAAGGTCATTATCAGGCAAAAAAATGTTTTTTTAATAAAATTATTTTATCATTCTTTTCACTTATTCTTCCATTTCAACTTATTCAATGAACATGAATTGTCATTTCTATTTCTTTTTCCAGGTTATTTCATAAGAGTCAGGTTTCGAAATGTGATATTGTATCTGCGTTTCACAGTTCAGACAGAGAGCACCACCACTCACTCTCTTATAATGCATCGTCTCTATATATTCCATCTAAAGATAGAAAATTTTTGGGGAAATCATGTTACTCCTGAAGCGTGCTCTTCTGATGAGAACATGATTGGAGCTTCTTCGACTACTGCACGTGAGAAGGTTGGAGTGCTGTTGCTGAACCTTGGAGGCCCAGAGACCCTTCAGGATGTGCAGCCGTTTCTGTTTAATTTATTTGCAGACCCAGTATGTGATCCGATTCTAATTTGCCAGTAAATCACTTTTGTTTCTTGCTTTATGGCTTTTTTTTTTAATTACTAATTTGCCGATCTGATTTTTATTTCATCTGTTAAAATTGTGCATCTATATAGTAAGAGAGGGGTCCTTTTTTGTTTCTTGTATATATGACAGTTGTTCTTGTAGGGAAGCTTTTTTGTGATACCATATGCTTGTATATATGACAGTTGATGTTCCGTTGGCTCTTCTTTCCTTTTATTCTCTTCATTTTTTAGTGCGGCTTGGGTAAGAAGTTGGTTTTAGGTGAATTGAGAAGTGGAGTGACAAGGGAAAGTTTTATTTTGGAGTCATAAAATTGGATTCTGTTCTAATAGAAGTTTTAAGCTCTAAGCATGCTATATTTTAGAATCTAATTTGACTTTCAACCTGATGGGAGCTGAATTTGACTTCTAAGCTGATACTTCAAATCTACTTCGACGTGTAACCTGATAGGAATTCAATTTTTTTCCTAAAGATAGAAATACCAGGTAAAGTATACTGGAACCAAACTGAATCAACCCAACAAACACTTCGGACCTTACTGGAACCAGCATAATTTAGAATGCTTTACTAAGTCTGTACTAGGATTTTGAATGCCTCCCGAGCGACTAACAAACAAATTTTTTGGGTGCATATTTCTTAAATTTGGTTTTTTAGAATTGTATGTATGCATATTTCTTAAATTTGGTTGAGAGGTTGGTACAAACTACGAAGGAGGATGATGAAAGGTTCTTGCTAAAGCTCTAACAAACAAATTTTTTGGGTGCATATTTCTTAAATTTGGTTTTTTAGAATTGTATGTATGCATATTTCTTAAATTTGGTTGAGAGGTTGGTACAGACTGCGAAGGAGGATAATGAAAGGTTCTTGCTAAAGCTCAGGAATCGAATGGAGCGGTAAAGATTAGATTTTGAATTGAGTATTGAGTTTTGTTTGTTCGTTGTTTTTTTTATTAATTGGGTAATTTTTTTGGTGTTTTGAGGTTGGGATTGATAATCCAACGATTGAGTTCCGATTCGAGCATTTGAACATTGATGCAAAGGCATTTGTGGGGAATCAAGGACATACCTGAACAACATCGAAGACAACACCAAATGTAAGAACATGTTGAAACAAAATGTAGTTTGTTCCTTCTTGCTACTGTATCATTTGATTTTGTATGTATAAAAAAGATATAATCTTATTTGTTGTGCATTTGTTTATTAAACTTGAAAAGAAGAATCCTTACTTAGGTTAACTTTTTTCTTCTGACCCAATATTGTATAGTGAGCATTTATTTTGGTGATGCTCTGTTATATCTGAGAAGAACCATGGAGATATTCCCACTACACATAGAAATACCTGGACGTCCATTCTGACTTGAAACTAACTTTCTTCGTTATCTTCAAAGTAGGAAATCGGTTGCCAAGTGTTGAATAGATTTGTGTAGTAGGCACTGTTTTAAATATCGGCCGATAATCGATATTATCGGCCGAGTTATCGGATTTGGGAGCTCTCCGCTAGGATAAATTGGATTTTTAATCGGTTATCATTTTTCTAGGTTTATCGGCGATTTATCGGCGTTATCGGCACTTATCGGCCGATAAGTAAGACTTTTTTATCGGGATTATCGGCCATTTTGACTAACATTATATTTTTTCAAGGCTATGATGCAAGTTTCGCTTTCTACAATTGGTTAATGATTCTAAACATGATGATTTACATTTTGGTATGTTTATATTTCATTAAGCATGATTAGATTATATTTTTTAATTGTTATATTATATATACACATCATCCAGTATATCACTCCGATAAATACTACTTATCCCCGATATATCCCCGATTTCCGCTATCCGATAAGGATTTTGGCCGTCCGATAAATCCCCGATAACCGATATTTAAAACCTTGCTTGTAGTTGAGTACACGATTGGCACTATTGGTAAAGTTTTTAAATATTTAAATAGATGAAATTATTGAACCGATGGTTCTTTGACATTGTCTTCCTATCTGCTTGGATGCAATTAAATTTTGCACTATAAGTGTGATATAAGAAGAATTTTTTTTTAATCTTGATAGTCTCTTGCATTCAATAATGGTATGGGTTAAATTCCGCCAAATAAGTGCTAGAGAAAATGTGTGAGATCATCTTTTTAAAATCCTTAGACAATCAAAATCACGTCTTCCTGGATATTGTGGATTGGGGCTCAAAGAGATGTAGCATATTTACTGCCCCCTTGAGCGGAGCAACGTTGCTGCAGTGTGTCCTATGTCTGACACTGGATGATTTTTGCGGTTAGAAAACTATTGGTGCACGGTGAGTAATCAGCAATGACATGGGTGATGTGGACACATTTTAACTGTTGATGATGGCCTACTGTAAATTTATCTTCACATTGTGGAGTGTAGGGTGGTGAAGCTTAAGTTGAATTAGGCTGTCCATAGTTCCTTAGAGTTGAACTTACTTGCACAACACACCTTTAGATTATATCAGTTTCTTATTATTGTTTTTTTTATTGTTTATGACTTTATTCTTTTGTAGTTTTTATGTTGAGAACATTTTCCGCTCATAGGAAGATTGAGAGAAACCATTGAAAATTGACTTTTTTTCCTTGCCTGCAGAATTTGCATGCAGTACTTGTAATCATTATTTGTCAGCAGTTGCACTATATCAGTTCTCTGTTTCATGTTTTATGTGTTATTGTACAGTGTTGTATGGAACCCTGTTGGGCAGATTGGCACGTGCCAGACATACATTGTACACATTTATCGTTTGTGTGCTTTATTGAATTCATTTTGTATCTTGTAGTGTGTTTCGTAAGTGTCCATGACCCATTGATTTTGTCTACAGAACGGTGTTTCACTTGATACATGTATGAAATTGTATACATTGATTTGAACTGACATTTATGGTGTTTTAGCCCAAGTTAGTAACTTTTACTGAATGTTTTTGAAATTATTCTTTCCCGTTTAGGAACACACAGATGGGTTGATGTACTAAGCATCAAAAGACTACTATTGTTAAGTTTAAATAGTCAACTTGTTTAGCTGGAGTAGAAGTAAAATGCATGAGCTTGTATAATTTAATATGCAATGGAGCTCTTAAATTAAGAAGGCTGAGTTTGGAATTTGTTTCGGCAGCTGAGAACATCTATTGAAAGAAGCACTGCTATGTTTGACAAGGAGAAAGCACAAGAACGACTATCAAAGCTTTCAGGAGGTGTAGCTGTGATTAAGGTAATGCTTTTTCATCATTATTTCCCCCATTTCCTTCTCCTTTGTTTCTTTTTCTTCATTCCTGGTCCATTTCCTTGCTTGGCACATACATACAAATGTTATTTGCTGATGCAGGTTGGTGGAGCTAGTGAGGCTGAAGTTGGTGAGAAGAAGGATAGGGTTACCGACGCTTTAAGTGCTGCAAGAGCTGCTGTTGAAGAGGGTATTTTGCCTGGTAAGTTCAGGGTTGATTCTTCTTTCTTGAGAACAACGATAGCGTTTATCTCTCATACAAATTGTTTCTGCAGGTGGTGGTGTGGCTCTTTTATATGCTACTAAGGAGTTGGGTAGAATTGAATCATCCAATAGCGACGAGAAAATAGGCGTTCAGATCATTCAAAATGCTCTGAAGGTTGTTAGTTGTTACCTGTACACTTAATACCTTGTACTGTTTGAGAAGTTTTGTTAGCTGCTATTTGTAGAGGCATTTATATAAACAGAAGTTGACTTCATGCAGGCACCTGCTTACACTATTGCTGCAAATGCTGGGGTTGATGGTGCTGTTGTTGTTGGCAAACTACTAGAACAGGATGATTTCAATTTGGGATATGATGCTGCTAAAGGTAACTATCCCTGCATATGTGGCATGCTTAGAACCCTTATCATTTTTTGCTCCGTAAAAGCTTTGATATTACTTGTTCTCACCCATATAGCATTCCAGGGACGTATCTTATCAAAGTTTCTTGATTTCAAATTTTCTGATATTTTTGTCTGTGAGCAGTTTCTCGTATCATCACTCCTTACAGTCCTTGATTCATGAGCTGATGGTTGTGCATGGCTTTCTGCTGCAGGTGAGTATGTTGACATGGTAAAAGCTGGAATCATCGATCCCCTTAAAGTTATCAGAACTGCTCTTGTAGATGCAGCAAGGTAAGGAGTGATATATGTTGTTGGATTCTTACTTTTATGCGCACAACTGTAACTGAAGCAATTACTGAGTAATGTGATTGGTTTTCAGCATCTCGGTACTATTGACAACCACTGAGGCAGCAGTTGTAGAGCGTGCAGATGCAAAAGCTAGCAAATCACCAAGTCGCATGCCAGACATGGACGATTATGATTACTAATGAGGTTGATTAAAGGGAAAGTTTTTATTTTAGTTGAGTTTTTGCTACAGAGGATAGTTTCCAGTAAGGGAGTTTTGAAACTGATTTTAACCAGTGATTTTTACTTGCCAAAATCGAGAATATTGAGTGGTCATATTTGGATCATATTGTTGTAAAAATCGTGGGGTTTTTAATGGTTAGCCACTAGCCAGGCAACTCTTGTTCTAAAAATATCAGAAGGTTGGCATTAGATAATTATATTCGGAAGGTTGATGTTATTAGGCTGGAATCCTATAATGTGATAAACCCACATATTTATCATAAATTTCTGTTATCGTTGATGAATTTTGCCTTATTTTATGCCGCCTGACAGTTACCCCGTTTTCTCTCCAGCAGATCTCTTTCCTTAATTGTTTTGGGGTAGAAGTATACAGCTACTTGTACCTATGATTCCTTTGATAATTACTGCCTCTTATGTTCGACAAAAAATCTCGATGTCAAAATATTATGTATAATCTAAGATAGTAAGAGCGTAGAAGAAAGCATGGGGAGTTTTCAGCTAAATTATATTTCATACATATAACTATATGCCAAAAATAACTGACGGTAGTTTCTAGATAAATGCAAATCTTCAGTTATTTATTTATATCTGTTGGTCCTGTAAAGAAAAAAATGATGAAATATTATACTAGAAGTTGGAAAACTGGGAGGACAAAAATTCATGGTATTATGGAATATGACTTAGACCTATACTAAACCACCGAATAGGGAGATTACGTCTGAATGAAATATGCTTCGAAGCCCATAAATGGACCGTCTTCACTTGTACTGACTAATCGTCACTAATAACATTTAGTAATGTTTATATACTTGTGATTTCTTTCTAGCATGATTAATATTACTTTTTGGTGAATGAACTACTTTTTATTTCTCATTAAGAAATCATAACCATCCGTGAACTCTTGAAACACGCAGCTCATGAATCAAATTAACTAAACAATTAATGAGTAAACGTGATGAAATCTCCTCAAGGATTTTACAATATCTCAGATTCATAGAATATACACTGACCATGATTTCAAATGACAGAGAAGAATACAGTGTCTATTCATTGCTAGTTAACATATTTCCATTTTCTAGAGGCTCCCAAATCCGCTCCTCCTCCCTCTTTGGCGCTTCCCTTAATTATGAAAATTAAATGCTGCCCCTTCTTATTGCATGAATGTTTTCCCCACCCTTCAACGGTTACCTCTCGTATATGTAATCCTGCCAAAATCTCTCCATATAAATTTAGATACTTCCATACACACAAAATCTTACCCCCAGTTAATCATAAAAAGAATGACCCACCTCAGTTTCTTCTTCTTATTCTTCTTCTCGGGTTTCATTTCTTCTTCATCTTCAAACAACTCTGTGGATTTCAACCCTCTTCAGTCCTTCAGGTCTTCTTCTGACCCCGCCGGCCTCCTCTCCTCGTGGGATCCAGAGACCGATCCTTGCTCTGGCTCTTGGGTCGGCGTTTATTGCCACAATGGCCAAGTCACAAAGCTCGTGCTAGAAGAGCTCAGGCTCAATGGAACCATAGAAGCTCTAGCTCGGCTTCCTCATCTCACAGTCCTCAGTCTCAAGAACAACCACCTCTGTGGCTCTCTCCACCTCTTGAGCCTCTCTCTATGGCAACCTCACCTTAAACTCCTATTTCTGTCAAATAATAAATTTTCTGGTCCTTTTCCTGAATCAATCCTCCACCTTCGTCATCTCCATCGCCTCGATCTTGCAGGGAATCAATTTTCAGGTGTAATTCCTGCCAGTATCGGCATTCTCCTTCCACATCTCCTCACTCTTCGTCTTGAGAAAAACTTGTTCACTGGTGAAATTCCAGGCTCAGTTGGCAAAATTCAAAGCCTTGTCGATCTAAATGTCTCTTACAACCATCTCGTTGGTGAGATCCCGAAGAATCTGTCGTTTTCTTCTTCATCATTTATAGGAAACTTGGCATTATGTGGAAACCCTGTAGAGGATTGCCCGAAACAGGCAATGCCTACCTCATACAGCGACAAGAAGAAGAAGAAGAAGAAAAAGAAAAAGAAACATTGGATTCTGATATTGTTTCTGATTATCATTATCCTTTCAATATCAGCAGTGTTGCTGGCTGCTTTCTTGATTTTCATGCAACGGAGATGTAGGACAAGAGAAGGGAAAGGGGATAGAGGAAGCGAAGATGAGAACCCGAAGGGAACAAAAGAGGAGAGGCTTGTGTTCTTCGAAGGGTGCGAAGAGTTTGTGATGGAGGATCTGATGAGGGGGTCAGCGGAGATGCTGGGGAGAGGGGTGGTGGGGTCCACGTACCGAGTGGTGATGGAAGGAGGAGGAGGAGAAGGGG